CACATTGGATTGAACCGCCCTTCATATGCCATTGAGATGTAACTTTCACTGAAACAAGCTTCTTTCCATGAACAGGTTGCTCTTTGGAACTGACTCCCAAGAGGAAACTTCCCCGATCACTAAAATCTTAACCTGTTGAGTTAACCGTTATCTTCCCCACACATCTGCATAAACTATGCATCTTACTCTGTAACCACCTACACTTCCAGTAGCTCCTGTCCCATGTTAAGCAACACGAAGCGTGGGCACTACCTATATGGGTTACCGGTTGAGAATACCAAGTGCTGTATACTAGTATCTCCGAATGGTGTAAATGTTAAAGGCTTGAGATTGTTAATCGGAGGTTTGAGTTCGAATTCACGTTAAGTTCGTCATATTCACTTACTCGAATATAGACTTTGGAAAAATATTAATCCACCTCTTCTCCTCCCCAGCTATGGGTTAATTAGTAAGACATGTGAGTACGTAGATGGGTGACCATTTGGGAATACCTGAAGCTGTAATCTTGCATGTCCAAATGGTGAAATGGGTAATGGCTCCGAAATGTTAATCGGAGAGCTGAGTTTCAATTGGGTTGGTTATGGTCACTTTTGTTGAAATATCCTTGGGAAAGATAGGAATCCACCTCTTCTCCCCAGCTATGGGTTAATTAGTACGACTTGTATCATTGAAAACTATTATTATCTCAAAAACACTTACAATCTAAAATATATTATAGATTAAAATAGACTTTAATGATAGCTTGATAAGCCGTAGAACGTGGACATCATTGTAAAAAAAAAGAAAGAAATATTTTCGAAAACCTCACGGAAGGCTTTGGAAGTGACGGCTTATTTTTAAACCTGGAAATCTAGCCTCCCCACTAGCTACTGATGCGTCAGTTCACGGTACAATGAAAAGTCACCGCCGCAATCTGTATTTCACACACAATATCTATACATGGTATTTCATTTTCATTCTCACTATACATGCGGGAAAGACATCCGGCTAGTACCAAAATGAAACGCTGAAATCAACAAAAGACTAAAACTAAAGAAATGTATCCATAGCCAATAGACAGAGCGTAAAACAAAAGGTAAAATAAGAAACTTAAAAGAACCTACATCAGCTTGATGAGAATCAAGCGTGACTAGGAAAATAGACGAGAAAGAGCAAATTTGACGAGTAAGAAAGCCCGCGAAAAAACCAAAAGAAACGCAAGTAAAATGACAGACACACACACTAATATATATATATATATATATATATATATATATATATATATATATATGTATATATGGACAATTTTCAGAATTAACTTGTAGAAAAAGGCAATATGTATAAAGTTAAAAGACTTTAGGAAAACTGTATTATTAATCGACGCGTTTCGTCCAATGTGGACTTTTTCAAGGCAAAAACGAAATGAATTTATTGAAAACAAAGTACCTATCAACAACAAAACAAAATGTCCTTCGCAACTAGAAGAATTTAGAAAACGGTACTGTATTCATATTGTCAACTAAAAATTACGTCAAGTACTATTACGTGTGGGAAAATTGTTTTTATTGTTGTGTTGACAGATTCAACCATTTTCTTTTCATTTCTTGATAGAGTTCTATACGTTGGATTGGGTGAGTAGTAATTCTGTTAGGAAAGGTAGTATTGGGATAAACCTGGGCGTAGATTAATATTTGATGGACAAAGTCCGACAATTATTTTAAGACATTTTTATGTTTATACATTCTTTTCATAGATACAAATATTAAAGTAAATGCTGTTTATAATAAACAGTATTAATAACATCAAATAAAGAAGCATATTCTATTGGCACCTTCTTATGTAAATATCTACTTGTTTTATGTTTCATTAATGTCGTACGATGACCGACATTAAGCCACGCCGAGCCTGATCAGTATCTTGATGGGTGACCGATTGGGCATATCATACGCTGTAAGCTTGGATGTGCGTATTATGTAATGGTTCACTAGTCATGACCTTTGCTGCTGGGACCCGCCGTGACACGTGCTCTTCGTATTCCATTAATAAATAGGAAGTTTACCTTGGACATCTTTTTTTTTGTGGAACAGATTCCGGCCAGAATGTTTTTCCGATCCCTTAAATCTTAACCAGTTCAAATCGAAGGATAAATGCTATGTTTCCCTCACAATCTCATAATCTGCACTTCTTGCCTTCTCTTACGCACATACAACGCCATACAGTCACCCTCTACATTGAGTGGCTCTTGGGTCTTGGGGAGGCGAGTTATAATTCCAATTGTGTCCTTCATATTCACTTACTCGAATATATCATTTGGAAAGATTTGAATCCAACTCTTCTCCCCCAGTTATGGATTAATTATCAAGCCTTGTGTCACTAAACCATTATCATCATAAAAAGAAAATTCTTATTACCCAGAAATATTTTCTGGCTTTAAATTAGTAAGCAAGAAGTTCCATTCGGAAACCTTTTATGTGGAACAGATTCCGGACAAGATGTTTTCTCGATCGCTTAAACTTTAACTTCTTCAGATCGAAGAGTAAACGCTATAATTTCTACGTAACCCCATAAGCTAATCCTCTACATTGAGTGGCTCTTGGGACTTGTATTGGGTGAATATAAGTGTTATGGTCCAGGTTAGGACCAAGGAAGAACAACACGAACACAAGAGTAGAAATAACGAAGGTATATTACACGAAATAATACTACAAGATGTGGAAGGTGTTAGTATGACTGTCAGTCTGGTTTGGAGTGAACTACTATCGGCTCGACTCGATTCGTCCCTCTCTCTTGAGAGGCGTAATATACATAATTTTAGGAAGAGTTCATTCTGTAGTTATAGGTAAGGACCCATGACATTCTTCTTTTTCTTTTCTATTTCTCCTTCTCTTTCTTCATTTTCTCTTTCTTCTTCTTCTTTTTCTTCTTCTTCTTCTTCTTCTTCTTCTTCTTCTTCTATTTTTTCTTCTTTTTCTTCTTCTCTTTCTTCTTCTTCTTCTGCTTTTTCTTCTCTTTCTTACTTCTTTTTCTTCTTCTATTTCTTGTTCCCTTCTTCTTCTTCTTCTTTGTTATGGTCCAGGTTAGGACCAAGGAAGAACAACACGAACACAAGAGTAGAAATAACGATGGTATATTACACGAAATAATAATACAAGAGGTGGAAGGTGTTAGTATGACTGTCAGTCTGGTTTGGAGTGAACTACTATCGGCTCGACTCGATCCTTATCTAGCCACCCCCCCACGAGGGTTGCATGTGGCAAAAGGCCGAGTTTAACGTGGGTTTCCCGAGCCCGTAGTCTCGGCCAACAAAATGCCCGTAGAACCCGTATAAATGGGATCAGGTTGGTCAACCTCCCCGAACGAGACTCTGCCCTTCGGCGGAGCCTCGTCCGGTTTCCTCTGCTCAGAGGCAGAGAGTTCGACCAACAAGCCGAAACGGCTCGACTCGATTCGGTATCTAGCCACCCCCGACGAGGGTTGCATGTGGCACAAGGCCGAGTTTAACGTGGGTTTCCCGAGCCCGTAGTCTCGGCCAACAAAATGCCCGTAGAACCCGTATAAATGGGATCAGGTTGGTCAACCTCCCCGAACGAGACTCTGCCCTTCGGCGGAGCCTCGTCCGGTTTCCTCTCTGCTCAGAGGCAGAGAGTTCGACCGGCAAGCCGAAACGGCTCGACTCGATTCGGTATCTAGCCACCCCCCGACGAGGGTTGCATGTGGCACAAGGCCGAGTTTAACGTGGGTTTCCCGAGCCCGTAGTCTCGGCCAACAAAATGCCCGTAGAACCCGTATAAATGGGATCAGGTTGGTCAACCTCCCCGAACGAGACTCTGCCCTTCGGCGTAGTATACATAGAGTTAGGAAGAGTTCATTCTGTAGTTATAGGTAGGGACCCATGACAATAAGTATACAAAATGTCAACAAAAGTAAGTGAAGAAGCATAATTTTGACACCTTTATATGTAAATATAAGCCTGTTTAATGTATCCTTTAAGCAAACTGAAGCGTGGTCACTATCTAGATGGGGGATCGCTTAGGGATACCATGTGCTGTATACTTGTAATATTTAATGGCTCGGAATTGTTAATCGAAGAGCTGAGTTCCAATTCACATTAAGTTCCACATATTCACTTACCCGAATACGCCCTTGGGAAAGATATGAATCCACCTTCGCATTAAACTCTTTATTTAGTCCACCGGGGTAGACAGTTCTAGTTCCACGTGTCATGCCTCTTCCGGTTGTTTCAGCTCCAGGTTTTTTGGTTCACCACTGCCAGGAATGGTGACATGTTGTTAGAACCAGGGCGCAAATTTACTGTAAATGTTCCACTCACAATTTCTTTTGGTTTAGTCACTAAATCTAACCAATGCCTTTATCCACTAGACTCTGTGTCCATGAGTACAACGGATGAAACGTTGTGAATATGGCAGTGAAGATGAAGATAACGGTCGGAATAATGTAAATAATATAACTAATTGTTATGGTCCGGTTCCTTGTACCACGGTGATAGTCCAAGGTAGAACCAATAAAGAAGAACTCGAAGGCGAATATGGAATAACACAGATATATTACAAACAGGAATATATACAGAAAGATAGAAAAGTGTTAGTACGAACAATCAGGTTTAGTAGTAATTATCTGAACACGACTCTGTTTCGGACTGCCTCTGACTCGACTGACTGACTCCTGACGGACTTCACTCCAGAATTCAGACGGAACTGCTGACTTCAGACGAAACTCTCAGACTTCAGACGGAAATCAGACTTCAGACGGAACGGTATTTAGTCACCCCCGCCACGAGGACATCATGTGGCACAAGGCAGGTTTAACGTGGGATCTCCGAACCCGTGGGCTCGGCCAAAAATATGCCCTTTGAACCCGTATAAACGGGTTCAGGGTCGGTTTACTTCCCCGAAAGAGACTCCGCCCTTCGGCGTAGCCTCGTTCGGGTTCCTCCCCGCCCGAAGGCAGAGAGTTCAACCGATCAGCCGGTCAGTCGGTCGCCCGACTTCGGGCTGAACTCTCTGCTTCCTCTTGAGGCGCAGTATTTATTACGTATGGAATAGTCCATTATGTTATTATGGGTAAGGTCGCCTAACACTAATCCTGTCTGGAATCTATTCCAAAAATCAGCAGTTCTTGGAAAAACTGTCCGCGCGGAACTTCTTACTGATGGAATGCGAAGGAAATGAGGACGATTCATACTCCTTGTATGCGGTATGGTAAGTCCCAGCTAAATAGGTCAGGAGTGTTGGAACCAAGGAGTGTATTTCGTCAGAAATCTTGTCATGTAACTGGCGATAAAGTAGCAACTTTTTTGAGACGTTTCGTCTGCGCGAAATATATTTGAAAAATGAATATTTTTGGAGGGGATTGTTTGACATTATTGAGGAGATATAGCGGGAAATCAGGCATTTATCACATATGTAGATATTTGATTTTTCTTGGTTTATATATATAAATAGTCTGCGACTCACGCCAGGAAATAAAGAACCGTTGTTCGAATAATAAAAATCGGATTTATCTTCAATGTCATGCAAGATCTTTAGAGAAGGCAGGTGCAACAGCAAGTAGACCTGGAATATAACCTAAATACCAGGCACACATTCGCACTCTAACAGGATAATGGTTGCCATCGACATAAAAACAGGTTGTCAACCCAGCTGCTCTTAGGGTGTGTACACATTAAAATTTTTAGATACATAGATAAATATGAAGAGACTTTATAAAGATATATAGATAGATATGAAAAGACTTTATAACGATAGATAGATAGATAGATAGATAGATAGATAGATAGATAGATATGAAAAAAAACATTATAACAATAGATATGAAAAGACTTTATGCTGAGAGATAGATATGAAAAGACTTTATAACAATAGATAGACAGATAGATATGAAAAGACTTTATAACGATAGATAGATATATAGACAGACAGAAAAAAGGCATTATAACGATATATACAGAGAGAGAGAGAGGGAGAGAGAGAAGAGAAGACTTTGTAACGATAGACAGATAGGTAGAAAAAAGATAGATAGATAGAAAAAGATTTTATAACGATAGATAGACAGATAGATAAATATGAAAAGACTTTATAATTAGAGATAGATAGAAAAAGATTTTATAACGATAGATAGACAGATGGATAAATATGAAATGACTTTATAACGATAGATAGATAGATAGATAGATAGATAGATAGATAGATATGATATGATATAATATACTTTTTTATATTTCAAGAACAGTATTAGGGAAATTTTGACAGAGTGGAAAATGTTTGCTCGTGACGCGTTTCGTTCTTCAGGACTTCGAACTAATTTTGTTATGTCGGTAGGATTATCCATGCGCACAGCAAGAAAAGTGTCGGGAATTTTTCAATTTATTTTTTAAGCCGAATTCATCTAGAGTCTTTTACTTTTTCTTTCCATCCCTTTTATAGTTAGGTATTCCCCAGTGTGATATTAGAAGATCTGCCAGGAATGGTGACATGTTGTTAGAACCAGGGCGCAAATTTACTGTAGATGATCTTGCAATTAAGACACTTTCTTTATCTCTCGCATTATCGCAACACAGAATGTAATACCTACGTACAAAAGTGATGGGAAGAAAAAGAAACACACTCTAAATGAAATAAAAACCACTAAAAATCCCAGCACCCATCTTGGCGTGCGCGTGTGTAATCACACTAACATGACATAATTAGTTTTCAATTCGCCGTTTCTCTTCAGGATGGTGGCGATCAAGGTGCTCCACAATTTTCTTTGTATCTTTGAATACATTTTGACTTGGTTTTTTCTCTCCTAAACTCAGTTCTTCCATCTGTTTAATCAAGCTTACTTGTTAGGTTAGGCGTTGTTTTCCTCTTTCCCTACCGATATAAAAATGACATATCCTAAGCTGAATAAACAATAATTCTACTTGTGAAAGATTAAGTCTTGTTTGCTTATTTCTCTTTCCAACGATAATACATATATAAATATGGTTTTTCGCTACACCGTAATAACCATGTTTCAAAATTGGAAGCTAAAAACTTTAAATTTAATTAAATTAAAAGCATTAGTTCCGTTTCATCTTCAAAGCGAATATTGGAATCTTTATGCTCTGTAAATTTACATTGAGCACTGTTTTGTAAAAAATAAAAAAAAAATAACAAGAACACCGGATTATATATCTTACTGGTTTTTTTTTATATATATATATATATATATATATATATATATATATATATATATATATATATATATATATATATATATATATATATATATAAACACTAATATTCCATGGTCATAATTTATTTTATTGGAATCGTAAATACGATCCAATTCATCAGACCTACAAATTCAAAAGAAAACAGAAAAAAAAAAAAAAAACTCCGAAATAAAATAGAATTTAGAATTCGTCCCACCCTCATACTTACACTCTCTCTAAATTCTGTTTTTATTTCCGGAGTTGTTTTTCTGTTTTTTTTTGAATTTGTAGGTCTGATGAATTGATCGTATTTACGATTCCAATGGAATAAATTATGACCATGGAATATTAGTGTTTAAGTCTTTTATTATATCCTTACTCTGTCCTGGACATTGAGTTCTACCTGGATTCTATCCTCTTGGAATTTTTTATTCCAAAAATATACATGTATGTACCTATGTATATATATATATATTTATATATTTTGCATATGTATGTGTATATTTACCACTAATATTATCTATCTATCTATCTATCTATCTATCTATCTATCTATCTCTCTCTCTCTATATATATATATATATTTGTGTATTTAGGAAGCAAACCTTCTTTCATGCACATTCCATTGAATACGACACACAAGGTGCTTTGATTTAGTTTTTTATGCAATTTCACATGCGATCTAATATATTTTTTTCTTTTCAGATGATAAATTATATAAAAAATATCCGAATGTTCTTTTTTCCGAGTAATTTTTTTTGCATGTATGTATTTATACATTATATATATATATACATGATACAAACTAATTCTATTTCTTATTTAGCAGTTAAAATATTTCATCCTTGAAAACGGCTAAATCTATAGCCGAAAGCGCTCGGTAAAAAAGAACATTCGTACAGTTTTTATATCTGAAAAGAAAAAAAATATTAGATCGCATGAAAAATTATATAAAAAAACTAAATCAACGTCCCTTGTCTGTCGTATTCAATGAACGTGCACACACGCACTTACACATATATATGTATAATAGTTTGGGCTAGCTAGACTATTTAAAAAATAAGAATTGTGCTCAACATAGGGGTCTGTGTCAGATAATATAAATCAAATTACAGAGCAAGACAAAATATAGATATAAGAAATTAAAATCGATTTGAATTTAAGGAAATTTACAACGAGAGCAAAACAAAATCAAAATAAATGCAAATTTTCGACATTCCATAATGTAATTAATATATATGGAAATTGACCAATTAACGTCGGCCACCCCAAAAAATTGATAATGTCATAACGTTAGGAGCTGGTGTGTAAGTTTTAAATCAATGTTAATTCCTTAAGTCATACATACATACATATATATATATATATATATATATATATATATATATATATATATATATATATATATTGTGTGCGTGTGTGTTTGTGTGTGTGAATATATATATATATATATGTGTGTGTGTGTGTGTGTGTGTGTGTGTGTGTGTGTGTGTGTATATATAATAACTGGCCATCTCTTCGGGCTAATCCCTACTGCAGACTCTCGCTCAGGCACACTTGTGCTTGTTCCGTCCGTCGTTTATACTGCAACTATGATGAGCAGACCTTAGTTACGGATTCTGAGAGAGAGAGAGAGAGAGCGTGTTATCTAGCTTGGTCAACAATCTGAAAACAAACCCTCGGTCACGATGACTTGTAACTTCGTGCTAGCACAGCTATCGACAGCCCCCCCCCAAGTGTTCCGTCTACCCAATTTAACACACAAGGCTTGGGTCAACACGTGACATGGTTTTCAGGCTCTTTCTAAAGGTGCCGCACACTGGGATCGCCGCCTCTCCAGACCGATCACATCAGGAAGTCTCCTTTCTGACAAATGAACCGTGGTCTCATAGTTAGAAAGCAGACGTTTTAACCACTGGGCCACGCCCCCATATATATATATATATATATATATATATATATATATATATATATATATATTTTGTTTTTGGAAGTCCTTTAAAAGGGCTGTGGTGAAATAATTTATTACATGGAATCTTAAAGAGGTCTGTTTATATATATATATATATATATATATATATATATATATATATATATGTGTGTGTGTGTGTGTGTGTGTGTGTAAACATATAATTAAATTAGAAAAAACTTTATGTATTTGTCATGTTTCGTTATTTTCTTAGCGTGATCAAAAACCTTTGGGAATTTCACTAAATTCTGATAAAGCATAATAAATAGCGGAACATGTTAAATTTAAAAGTGTTTCCTACATGTTTGGTATTTAATAATTTCCTCCGATTAATGCATACATACAATTCATATATATATATATATATATATATATATATATATATATATATATATATATATATATATGAATAAGAGATGGACACCGTTCATGTAAACATTACATGCCACATTCCAAATCAGTCTACTAATAGAAAATAACTATTCTGCTTTCCATTCTGAGGTCAATGTACTGATGATGAATGGTTTGGTTTGGTTGGTTTAAACTCTCCAAGTTGTTTTGCTCACTACTGTTGTGGCTTGGTACAGGAAGTCACAAATCTTGGAGTCTAGTCACTAGATTTAACCAACGTCTTTGTCTACTGGGGCATGTTTCCTTGAGGACATCTGGCCCAGTGGATAAAAAACGTTGGTTATGTCCAGTAGACACAAAGTTGAGAGTTGAGTTAAAGGAAATATCTGAAACATCCAAAAGAGGCATGACACGTGGAACTAGAACAAATTATCCTGGTGGACGAAATAAAGGATTCGTTTGGAACTTCCAGAAGGCCGGTGCGTACAACAGCCGAAACGTTGTGAATATAGCAATGAAAAAATGAGGATAACAGTCCGAAATAATACCAGTAAAAATGTATATTTCGATTTCATTATAAATTTAGTTATTCAGAAAATTATCGTTAAAAACGAACTAATCTTGTTTCAGAAGAGAAAATGTACCTGAAAATCTGCCACAAAAGAAGAATGAAAAATGTATGACTAACGCCTTCCATTTTTTTTGGTGTCTTGTCTCGCAAAACGGAATTCATGTTTAAACAGCGATAGAAGTAGAAAAAATGTAAGTCTTGTTTATATGATAAAGAGTTTTGTCAGAAGATAGTGTAAATCGAAAGCAATAAAAAAATATGCAAGAGCTGAAGACAATAAAATTACAAAATAAAAAAAAAAAGATTATTGAAAATGTCTAGTTAGACAATGATATAAATAAGCAATAGAAAAAAACAAAAAAAAAAAAACAGAATTAACTGTCGATGTTAAAAAACGATGAATAGAAATTTTGAGACGGATTCTTAGAATGCAGATGTAGAGCAAGAGGCTTAGTAAGGAAGTAGAAAAAAATGAATTAATTAAAATATAGACGGAAATAAAGGACACTATTAAAGGCAACCGAAACTAAACAAAAGTTGGTTATTTTGTTTAGTGGCATATCAAACTTTATATGTTATTTAAGGCCGAAATCTAAATATTTTGATTGGTTTCGTTTGGTTGTTTTTGTTTAGAGGCATATCAACCTCAATGGGTTATTTAATGCCGAAATCTAAATATTTTGATTGGTTTCGTTTGGTTGTTTTTGTTTAGAGGCATATCAACCTCAATAGGTTATTTAATGCCGAAATCTATTTTGATTGGTTTCGTTTGGTTGTTTTTATTTAGCGGCCTATCAACATCTATGGGTTATTTAATGCGGAAATCTAAATATTTTAATTGGTTTGGTTTGGTTGTTTTTGTTTAGCGTCATATCAACCTCTATGGGTTATTTAATGCCGAAATATAAATATTTTAATTAGTTTGGTTTGGTTGTTTTTGTTTAGCGGCATATCAACCTCAATGGGTTATTTAATGCCGAAATCTAAATATTTTAATTGGTTTGGTTTGGTTGTTTTTGTTTAGCGACATATCAACCTCTATGGGTTATTTAATACCGAAATCTAAATATTTTAATTGGTTTGGTTTGGTTGATTTTGTTTAGCGGCATATCAACCTCTATGGGTTATTTAATGCCGAAATCTAAATATTTTGATTGGTTTGGTTTGGTTGATTTTGTTTAGTGGCATATCAACCTCTATGGGTTATTTAATACCGAAATCTAAATATTTTAATTGGTTTGGTTTGGTTGTTTTTGTTTAGCGACATATCAACCTCTATGGGTTATTTAATGCCGAAATCTAAATATTTTGATTGGTTTGGTTTGGTTGATTTTGTTTAGTGGCATATCAACCTCTATGGGTTATTTAATACCGAAATCTAAATATTTTAATTGGTTTGGTTTGGTTGTTTTTGTTTAGCGACATATCAACCTCTATGGGTTATTTAATACCGATATCTAAATATTTTGATTGGTTGGGTTTGGCTGTTTTTGTTTAGATGAATATTGACTTGTATGGGTTATTTAATGCCGAAATCTAAATATTATGATTGGTTTTGTTGTTTTTCTTTAGAGGCATATCAACCATTATGGTTTAATAATTTTGAAATTTAAATATCCCGCACGTAATGCTGTGCTTTCATATACACTTACTTTATACATCATTTTATTCTTCCAGAGTAAAAGGTATCTATTTTTATATATATATTTAGTCGATGATAAAATGTATTTTCATAGTTTTTAATATTGTATTGATTAATTAAATTAAAAACGCCATTGACCCAAATGTCTTGCTGTGGCAATAAAAACAAGTATTCCGGATTCCTGAACAAGTTTTAGCAGGAAATATTCTAAAATCTCACTTGACCCGCACGCCGTCATTTCGCCCAATATTTTCCCTTTGTCATTAGAAACTCAAATTCAAGCTCTCTGTGCAATGTTCTTTCAAACATTTCTCTTGACTCACGGGCTGGTTGCAGTCAGCCGTTCAGTCAATAACCTTGAACATTACCCACGAGAAAAGGTCACATGCCAAAGTTCAGTATATTACGTCCAAAGGCTGAGAAGTCTATAAAACACATGGAAACAAACATACAAACAAAAGTACAGAATTATATATATATATATATATATATATATATATATATATATATATATATATATATATATAAAATTGAACATAAATTCAACACTTAGAAGCAACAGTCTGTTTCATGCTAGATGCAATCGTCATGCCTGACTGTCACCTCTAAGTTTTGACTTCTATGTTCACTTTTATATTTACAGACGTTCTATCTCTGATATTGAGCACTTTATCCCACAAATATAGCACATCTTAAGATTATATATATATATATATATATATATATATATATATATATATATATATATATATATATAAATTGAACATAGAATTCAACACTTATAAGCAACAGTCTGTTTCATGCTAGATGCAATCGTCATGCCTGACTGTCACCTCTAAGTTTTGACTTCTATGTTCACTTTTATATTTACAGACGTTCTATCTCTGATATTGAGCACTTTATCCCACAAATATAGCACATCTTAAGATTATATATATATATATATATATATATATATATATATATATATATATATATATAAAATTGAACATAAAATTCAACACTTAGAAGCAACAGTCTGTTTCATGCTAGATGCAATCGTCATGCCTGACTGTCACCTCTAAGTTTTGACTTCTATGTTCACTTTTATATTTACAGACGTTCTATCTCTGATATTGAGCACTTTATCCCACAAATATAGCACGTCTTAAGATTATATATATATATATATATATATATATATATATATATATATATATATAAAATTGAACATAGAATTCAACACTTAGAAGCAACAGTCTGTTTCATGCTAGATGCAATCGTCATGCCTGACTGTCACCTCTAACTGTTGACTTCTATGTTCACTTTTATATTTACAGACGTTCTATCTCTGATATTGAGCACTTTATCCCACAAATATAGCACATCTTAAGATATATATATATATATATATATATATATATATATATATATATATATATATATATATAAAATTGAACATAGAATTCCACACTTAGAAAACAGTCTGTCTCATGCTAGATGCAATCGTCATGCCTGACTGTCACCTCTAAGTTTTGACTTCTATGTTCACTTTTATATTTACAGACGTTCTATCTCTGATATTGAGCACTTTATCCCACAAATATAGCACATCTTAAGATTATATATATATATATATATATATATATATATATATATATATAAAATTGAACATAAAATTCAACAACACTTGAAGCAACAGTCTGTTTCATGCTAGATGCAATCGTCATGCCTGACTGTCACCTCTAAGTTTTGACTTCTATGTTCACTTTTATATTTACAGACGTTCTATCTCTGATATTGAGCACTTTATCTCACAAATATAGCACATCTTAATATTATATATATATATATATATATATATATATATATATATATAAAATTGAACATAGAATTCAACACTTAGAAGCAACAGTCTGTTTCATGCTAGATGCAATCGTCATGCCTGACTGTCACCTCTAACTGTTGACTTCTATGTTCACTTTTATATTTACAGACGTTCTATCTCTGATATTGAGCACTTTATCCCACAAATATAGCACATCTTAAGATTATATATATATATATATATATATATATATATATATATATATATATATATATATATATATTTATATATATTATAAACTGTTACAGTGGAACATGCAAGTTACAACAACAAAAATGCATATTTATTTCGACTTTTGAAAACGTCTCATCAGGTGGTTAACATTGTTAGTAATAAACGATTTTATTTAAAAATACAATTTACAAAACATCACTTCTTTTTAAATTTTGAAAATTTACCATAGGAGGCAAAAAAACAAATAAATAAAAAAATTATTTTTCCATAAAAGGCGAAGAAAGAAAAAATGCCAACCTTACATAATAAATTAGAATACAAAATAAATTTTAAATGTTTATATGACTTTTATATATTTATTTTAAATTATAAACTATTATCAAACAGCATCACTAGTAAAATAATTATAAACCTTACTACCAGTAAATTTAAGAATACTAACCTATTTAATACCTTATTCTAGAATAATCCACTAAGGATGACATTAAAATGTTTATATAATAGCATTATATCATGAGAGGAAATATTGAGTTTTTAAGTTATAGTTAAGTACTTGTTTTGTTTGTATATGGCTTTTCTTCTTAGAGAGTCTTATATTTGCTTACTATGTTTAATTTTGTTTAAATATTTAATTTCTAAAAAAAAAATGACAATAAAGTTTGAAATGCTACAATGTATCTAAAATATGAACGTTTGAATTTATAGTCTATTCGTTCTTTTACATTTGAATTATATATATGTATAGATATATAGATTTGAGATCCTCAGTGCAGTGGTTATGTGAGCTGTGTAGACATGACTTGAATAACCTGGATTCTTCAGTCTGTAACTGTTGTCTTTATTGGATGCACCTGAGGTGTATTGGTAAGAGAACCGTATCCAAGCGTAAGTTTTGGATATGAAGAGACTGTTATGCCTGAAGTGCTTAAAATATTCAAAGACTACTATATTTTTTTTTGATAATTGATGATGAATAAATGATTTTAACTTGTGCTTTAAGAATTGATGTTCGAAAAAAAAATTAAATTTCTGACCATTTGATGGTTCAGATAAATAAACGTTTTCTTAAATCTGCATGCTGTTAGTTTTTAAAATTACTTGCTTTCATAATAATAAGATTTACCGACGAAATAGCATAATGGTTTATTTTAGCGAGTCCGGTGATATACGCTTAAAAGCATGTTTGTCTATTTTACCGGGGCATGAGAAAATAGACTCTTCCTTAAAATATAGGGAAACAAAGAATAGAAGCTAGAGAGGAAGAATAATAGGAAGAAAAAGAGAAGAAAAAAGAGAAGATAAAAAGAAAAGAAAAAAGAAGAAAAAAGAGAAGAAAAAAAGAAAAGAAAAAAGAGAAGAAAAAAGAGAAGATAAAAAGAAAAGAAAAAAGAAGAAAAAAGAGAAGAAAAAAAGAAAAGAAAAAAGAAGAAAAAAGAGAAGATAAAAAGAAAAGAAAAAGAAAGAAAAAGAGAAGATAAAAAGAAAAGAAAAAAGAAGAAAAAAGAGAAGAAAAAAAGAAAAGAAAAAAGAAGAAAAAAGAGAAGATAAAAAGAAAAGAAAAAAAAAAAAAAGAAAAAAAAAAAAAAAGAAAAAAAAAGAAAAAAAAAAAAAAAAAAAAAAAGAAAAAAAAAAAGAAAAAAAGAAGATAAAAAAGAAAAAAAAGAAGAAAAAAGAGAAAAAAAAGAAAAAAAAAGAGAAGAAAAAAGAGAAGATAAAAAGAAAAGAAAAAGATTGCGAAACAAGAAGCGGAAAATAACTGATTGAAAATAAAGAGAAAAGAAAAGGTAAGGTAGTAGTAAAACTGCAGGACAAAAAGGCACAACACACACACACACACACACACACACATATATATATATATATATATATATATATATATATATATATATATATATATATATATATATATATATATATATATATATATAAAGAAAATTGCTTGAAAAATGAACATAGAATAAAGATTAAATTTAAATAACTAAAAAGTAAAACAAGAAATATGGAAGATTTAGTCCGCATAATGTAAATAGAGCGAATAGAAAATGGTAGACATTGGAAATTTTCTTGGGCGATATTGGATTACACCGATTTGGGCACAACGAGGTGGTCTATATTAACAAGTTTGTCTTGTTGTAATAATTACGACTGAGTAGTAAGTTCGATCCTCACTGGGTGCCCCATAATATTCGGCCTTGGAAAATCTCTATTGGTTTACACCGATTAACATTTTTTTCGACTCAAATATTGTTGGGAATAGACACATGTTTCTGGGCTATTTTTTTCACGCTGAATCTGAAAATCAAGTCCATTTTGCCCCATCACATCAGGTTTTCTAAGTAGAGATTAGTGCAGATAATTTTTATTTTGCTTAAAATAGGTCAAAATCCCTAAGTCACAGGAATATGGCAAGGCTTAAATATGCGAGTGACATAGTTGAAACATCTCATTTCATGTTAAAATGATTTATTATTTAAGCAAAAGAATCCAAATAACTTTCAAAATGAATTCTAAGTTATTTCAGTTCAGGGAAGCTGACATGAAAATGCTTGATTTTATGCTGGAAAATGTTCTTGTGCTCTCAATGTTCTTAGCTTGTTAAAAAATTGTGATTTGTGTTTCTTCTCTACTTTTCATAGAAGTTCTTTAGAAGTCATTGAAGTACAGCGATTTTAGTTTTTCTTAGTAGTTTTCACTTTAAACATGAAACCGTCATAAGATTTTATCATATCACTTGAATTTACGGAGGTCTGGTATTGTCATGCAGTCTCTGTATAACATGCATAAGAAGCATCGATAAATGAGGATTGTTAGGGTGTTAGGCGAGTGTATTTGAGACTAGCAAGATTAGAAGTTTCTTTATCAGAGCTTAAAATGCCGCCAAACACCAGATAGGTATAGCCAATTAGGAACTTTGCAGATGGGATGTTAACGTGATGGCTGGTTTCTGCTGGGGCATCAGAAGAGATCAACCTTTTCAAAAGCACCGTAAAGTTTCCAAGAATAGAAGATTTATACTTTTGGATGGAAAATAATGATTGTATTTTTCATTCCTTTTTATCTTCTTTGTTTTGATCAAAAAATTGATGACACATGAAAGATGATACATATTTTAAGCTGAAAACGTTTTTAAAGTTGGTTTTAATTAGCCCTTGAATATCAATGTTAAATGCATATTTTTGTCCTAATGTCGGAAAAAAAATACTGAGAAAACGTGATGTGATGGGAAAAATGGACTTGATTTTTCAGATTTAGTGTGAAAAAATAGCCCCCCAAAAAATGGACTTAATTTTCAGATTTAGCGTGAAAAAATAGCCCCCTAAAAAATGGACTTAATTTTCAGATTTAGCGTGAAAAAATAGCCCCCCCAAAAATGGACTTAATTTTCAGATTTAGCGTGAAAAAATAGCCCCCCTAAAAAATGGATTTAATTTTCAGATTTAGCGTGAAAAAAATAGCCCCCAAAATGGACTTAATTTTCAGATTTAGCGTGAAAAATAGCCCCCAAAAATGGACTTAATTTTCAGATTTAGCGTGAAAAAATAGCCCCCAAAAATGGACTTAATTTTCAGATTTTGCGTGAAAAAAAAAATAGCCCCCAAAAATGAACTTAATTTTCAGATTTAGCGTGAAAAAAATAGCCCCCCAAAAAAAATGGACTTAATTTTCAGATTTAGCGTGAAAAATAGCCCCCCAAAAAAAAAATGGACTTAATTTTCAGATTTAGCGTGAAAAAATGGCCCCCAAAACATATGCCCATTGCCCAACAATATTTGGCTCGAAAAAATGACAACCGGTGGTTTTGAATATTTAAAATGTATTTTAACATACGGTACTCAAGAAAAAATAAGAACATTCAAAGGAGGTATGCAATAAACCTGTATCAAATAAATAGTGATAATAATAATAAAAAACAACGGCAAGCTAATTAAGAATATCTGGGCCACATTCAAAGATAAGATATACCGTATATGACAGCATATAAGACGCACCCAAATTTCAGCATGGCAAATCAAGAAAAGATTAGTAATTAGTAAAATTATTAGTAAATGGTACAACCTATGCTATATTTATTAGGTATTATTTTGTTTAATCAAGCCATGATTATAATTAAACGAAAAATAATAGGAAAAAAAGAACACCAGCTTATAAAATACTTTATTATATCCTTTATATGCTCTGTACAACCTGCATCTTGTAAACGTCTGATTGGAATTATTAAGATAACCGAAAGTTATTACAAGAAAAATATTAATCAAACAAATATATTTTGCAAATATAGGGTGACCCGAAAAAAACGGGAACTTTTTAACAATCCAATAAAACCAAGAGAGATGGAAGAAAAATATTTTATTTATAGTAATTGAAACCTTAAAACATGCCATTTAAGAAACAATGATGGAATTTTCATTTTTTAAAAATTACGTCCTGTAGATGGCGTCCTCCTGTACGAATGCATTCTTGAAATCTGCTGTTGAGATTCCTCATTGACTGCTGCAACATCTCAGCTGGGATACTGTGAATTTCATCTTGAATTCTAAATGACGAAATGTTTAAGGTCGCTGTCTCGCAGTATTGCCATTTGCTCATCCCTGGCAATACGCACTTCAAAAATTCCCGTATAATTTGAATTGATTGCATATAATTTTAGTGAAACAAAGTACTAATATTAAACGTGATGTAATTAATATAATGAATATTATCAATGATAACACTTTTAATCTGCATAATAGTCTTTTAAATAATGACAATAAGTATATGAAAGTTACTCTAAAGTCTAAGCTAATAGAAGTTGAAAGATAGCTAATTTCCGCCGACCATCGCGAATTTAAAAACTACATGTGGCATAAAAGACGCAAGGGAATTTAAAAAAAAAATGTTTTTAGTAAAAAAAAGTGCGCCTTATATGTCGTCAAATCAGGTAAATATCCCTGCAAACAACGAATATTTTGGTATCTTCTATAATTTTGAGAAGGCTCATTATATACATTCAAAGAGTTCTTCAGGCGAAATAACATTTTTCGGATATAAATCAGGTTTAGAAAAGATCAAGAATGACAAAAAATAATTGCTGAATTTTTATTAGTTGTTTTAATTTTATAATTATAAACAAAAATCGTTTTAATCGTTTATATATATATATATATATATATATATATATATATATATATATATATATATATATATATATATTTTCAATGGTCAATGGTCTTTTATTTATTTTATTTTATTTTTTACTACCTCATACAATCAGTTTAGGAACCAATAAAAATCTTTTACCAAACGTTTTGCGTACGCTTTTGAAAATTTACTCTACAGGAGGACGGTGAAAACTTTTTTCTATGTGAAAGTGGGCGATGACCTAAAAAAGTAGGGAACCCATGGATTCAGTCAATTATGTGCCATGCGTGATACACACTTAGGCGATCATGCATCTTTCGATACATGACTGGCGAGGCAGATTTTTTTGCGCATTAGGTTGCCATTTCTTTTAGCGGTAGACCAGTTGCCATCCAAGGCTATAGAACCAGGTTTGTCCTTTTATTTATCCATAGTTGGGAGAAAAGAAGCGGATTCATACCTTTCCCAAGAGTATTAACACATAAGCGAATGCAATTGATTCGATTGGAATTCGAACTTGGCTCTCTAATTCCTCAATCCGAGCCGCTATCCATTACTCCACATAATGACTCAATTATTACTTCTGTCAGTTATGTGACATGCGTGATATACGCTAGTCTTTCGCAATGAATCACCTCGAAGAAGAAATGAATTAGAATGCTTGGAAAATATGTGATTAACGATGAAAATAGAAGCATAAAATATCATTCGGTTATGTGCCATGTGTGATTCACGCTTAGACGATCATGTATCTTTCGATACATTGACGAGGTAGATTTTTCTCTTGCAGTAGGTTGCCATTTCTTTCTGCAGTATAGCAATTGCCATCCAAGGCTATAGAACCCCTGCTATTTATCCATAGCTGGGGGAAAAGAAGCGGATTCATACCTTTCCCAAGGTTATTAGCACATAAGTGAATGTGATGGATTCAACTGGAAGTGGAATACGGCTTTCCGATTCTTGGATTAGTCTAAAGAAATATTTATTGAAAAGAATAGATCAAAGAAAACAAAAAATGGAAAAGCCAGAAAAACTGAAAAGTCGAAAGAGAACAAAAAAGAAAAGAAAGAAAGAAATAATTATTTGAGAGGAAAAACGGGAATCATTGATAGAGATAGAGAGGGAAAGAACCATCAATGTAAGAAAAATGAGTTCAACCTACAGTAAGAAGATAATTACACCGTAAGAAGTTCAGATGTGTGTTGCATAAAAGAAAGAATAAAAGGAAAACTATTAAGATATTGGCTTGAAACGAAAAAAGAATGGCATACGACAGAAAGAATGGCTGCAATCAAAGAAAGCAAACGGAAATAAATGATTGAATGAAGGAATTAATAAATGAATTAAAGAAAGAAAAAGGAAATGATTGAATGACAAAATTAATAAATGAATTAAGAAAGAAAAAGAAAGATAGAATGAATGAAAAATGAAAGAAGGTAGGAATGAAAAAACGGTTGAGTGAAATGAAGAAAGAAATGTACTTTTTTAAAAAAATCGACGTGTGAAAGGTATCGTTCCAGCTCAGGTCCCCTCAGCTATGAATTAAATAATAGAGTAAGCTGAGGTTTTCAGCTTTGGGTGGCAATCAGTTTAACGATGAAGAACCCAGTTTGGTCTGTTACGTAATTCGTAGTGCTTTCTTTCTACATGCGAGACGTGCGAGGAACAGTATCCCATAATTGATGATTACTGAAGCATTGAAACCGCGTGCCCTCATGAAGTATCTATCTATCTATCTATCTATCTATCTATCTGCATTGTTCGGACTGTTGTCCACATCTTTGTTGTCATATTTACGACGTTTTGGATATAGTACGCTCTGACCTTCTTCAGGTGATTGGAATTTCGAACCGAACCTTTAACCTTTATTTCGCTCATTGTTCTAGTTCCACATGCTATGCCTCTTCCGGATATCTCAGTTTCAGTTTTTTTCCTTTATTAACTCATCTATCTATCTATCTATCTATCTATCTATCTATCTCAGCTCATTACCTCTCTCTCTCTCTCTATATATATATATATATATATATATATATTGATATAATGGAATGTGCATACACCTGTGTTCCCCCTCACTGGAGTATGATTGGCTGGTGTCCGTCATAAATACAGACGGGCATGTAGGTACGACAGAGTTTAAGTTCAGGACGACGCCCATTGGACTACGCCATTGGCTATCCTATTGGTCTACACCTATTACCTGCGACTACGACGAGTACCAGTCGATTACTGATACCGTGGACTACTTGGTTACAGTAGCCAAAACTACTTCGATATATATCCCTTTCCTGACATATCATATATATATATATATATATATATATATATATATATATATATATATTGGGTTGATGGAAAAGGTGTTGGTAGGCCTAATCCGTCAGGCAAGCAAAATGGATTTCGCTTCTCTAGGTCAACTGCTCATTAATGCTGAAAGAGTCTATCAAGTTTAGATAAGAATGCTGAATGTCTGGCAGTTGCTTTGGGCATTTTGAAAGCTTTTGTCAGGGTTTGTCATGCCGGTCTGCTTCCCAAGCTGAAAGGTTGAGATATTCCCGGACACATTCTTGAACTGATTCTGTCTTTCTAATCAAATCGCATAATGACAGTTTTCCTGTTCGGTCACTCTTATAGATCTTTCTGTAGTCATGCAGGTGTCCCTCAGGGCTCTATCCTTGGGCCTACTTTGTTCTTAATTATCAGCAATGACCTTATTAGCGGCATCAATTCTCAACTTGGTATCTATGCTAATGACACATCCATTTACTCTTGTTCCGATAGTAAATCTGAACTTTTCGATAAGGCCAAAATAGCAGCTAATCCAAAAAATAAGTACCTACAGTCTGTTGTTATCTGTGGCAAGAAATGGCATGCTAATTTTAAAGCCTTCGAAACTACCCTTTCAAATGATTAATAGAGAGACCTTTGTACCCTTCAATCTGCATGGCTGATGCTAACCTCCAGGACAATGACTCGTTGTGCTTTCTTGAAATAATATACTCGGCTGACATAAAGTGGAAAGACTATATGAAATCCATCTCTAGGTCTGCTCCGGAATCTATCTTACATATCTATAAGTTTTACATTCGTCCATACTTTGAATATTGGTGTAGCATATAGTCCTTTACTCCGACTATATATTTGGAGATCCTTGATAAAATCCAAAGAAGAATCAACAACATTATTGTTCCTAACCTGACATCTCGGCTTCAGTCACTTATTCAACGTCATAACGTAGTTTTCCTGTGCCTTTTCTATATATACTTCCATGATAATTGTTTGGGTGAGGTCTTCTCTATGGTGACTCGACGTTATTAATTGAAACGCGGTAGTAGATTGGCAACAAGCTCTCATCAATTTACAATTGAATTGCTTAGATGTAGCCGTAAGTTCTATGCTAACCCTTTCTTCTCTCTCTTTGGGTCCTGTCACTGGATCTAACTAACGCCGTTATCCACTGTGCCATGTGTCCTTGTGTTAGTTAGATCCAGTGAAAGGAACTAAAGAGTGTGAGTTCAATACCTGGTTAAGGCGGTGTAGAACTTGGAGAGGGGAATTAACAGGAGATAACTGACATCCATTAGACAAGGAACGTGAAACTAGAACAATCTACCCCAGCGAGCGAAATAAAGGGTTCAGTTCGACATTCCAACCACCTGAAGAAGGCCGGAGCGTACAACGGCCGAATCGTTGTAATAAATATGGCGACAAAGATGAGGACAATGGCCCGAATAATGTAAATAGTGTACATGATACCTCATCTCAGAAATATAGTCAGATAATGAAAATATGTGTAGATAAAACAGAGGTAAGCCACATCATGTCTTTGAGAAAGTGATTGAAGTCGAGATGTCAAGTCAGGACGGATAACATTGCAGATCCTTCTTTGGATTTTCTCAAGAACCTCAAAATGAGGAGCAGGAGCATCAGACCTGATATGGCATAAGTATTCAATTCACGGATGAAAGGTAGATTTGTAAATGTGCAAAATGAAATCTGTCAAGCAAAGTTTTCTGGCACGACACTGTGACTCAACTTTCCTTGCAGTAGATGCGGCTATTGATTCGATGTCGGAAACAGAAGGGAGTTCTACAGGCGGGAACTGCAACAAAAGTAAGTGTTAGAGAAGAAGTGGCGGTTGCATTGAACTATTTCATCAGTAAAAGGACAAAAGGGTGGGTTCTAGATACCAGTCCAGTTGCATGATTAAATTCATGGCGTCAGGACACCAGGGGAAAAAAAAGCTTATCAGAACAGTTGCTATAAAACTATTTGTAGAAAAAGACAGTGGGAAGCCACGTCACGTCGGTGAGAAAGTGACTGGTCAGGATTAAATACATTGCACATCCTTCTTTAGATTTTGACAAGAATCTCGTGATTTATAGAAGGAGAACCAGACCAAATATGGCAACAGTATTCAACGAACGGACGAATGTTAAATTTGTAAATGTGAAAGATGGATTCCGGGAAGCCACATCAATTCTGTAAGATACAGACTGAAGTCGAGATACCAAGTTAAGATCGATTACATTGGAGACCATTCTTTGGATGGTGTCACGAATTTCGAGACGAATAGCAGGAGGAACAGACGAAATATTTGTAAATATGCCGGATGGACTCTGGACATTACAAAGAGACATTCTAAATGTGTAGGGCTATTAAATGTAAATGGATGGCCCAACGGGGTTTAGGAGATATAATAAACAGACAAAATCTACTAAGCGCTACAAAAGACAGGAAGTCACCAACGGCACATAAAAGAAGCTCCAATATAATCAGTATCAGTGTTGTGACTGATAACATATAATTTCCTTATATGAATATGGAATTAATGCTGCAGGTTCAAACAGAGGATTTGAGATTAAGAAAAATTCCTCAAAAATGGTACCTCGAATTTTGCCACTTTAATTCCGGGAATAAACTTTTGAGAGAAATGTGTACTATAAAAAGAAGAAGAAAAAAAAAGAAAGAAAGAAGAAGAAGAAGAAGAAGAAGAAGAAGAAGAAGAAGAAGAAGAAGAAGAAGAAAATACTTGATTATATTGGCCATGGAAAAAAAAACTGCTTTTATTAGTCCGTTCCAGGAATTATATTGTTGAACAATATGTGTGTACGTATTCAAACGTGTGTGTATACCTGTGTAAGTGTATGTGTCCGAGAGTGAGTTTGTATGTGATGGAAAGTGTATGCGTGTGAGAGAGTTTGACTGTGAGTTTAAGTGGGTAGGTGGTTATATATGTGGCATTGTGGGAGTGTATCTGTATGGCTTTTAGCTTATGTGCGAGATTGCTTTTGTGAGTAGGTTTGTCTGTGTGAGTGTGTATCAGCGTAAGATTGTGCGCATGTATATCCGTGTGTGTGCATGAAAATGATGTACTTTGAATCAATTTTCCAGATAAGATCTGATTTCCCCGATGATAAAAAGGAAACGGACAAAATAAACAAAATACTTTCTTACTGTGTAAAATCTCCACATTTAATCCCATATTTAAACAAGGTTCCATATGAACAATTTTTCTTTACTTGGCAATTCTCGACTTCAAAATGGCTGTTCTTATTCCACACGACGTTATTTACATCTTCGCTTAACATCTACGTTCTGAATCTCATCATCTTCCCTCATTATCTTTCTCTATTCAATTCTAAGACATCTTTCTTCTTCTTCTTTGTCTTTTTCGTCTCCTTTTTCTTCCACATCATTTTCTTCTTTTTCTTCTTCTCTTTTTCTTTTTCTTTTTCTGCTACTTCTTTTTTCTTCTTTTGATTCTTCTTCTTCCTTTCCTTCTTTTTTCTGTTTTTCTTCTTCTTTTTCTGCTTCACCTTCTTTTCTTCTTCTTTTTCTTCTACAACTTTTTCTTTTTTTTCTTCGTCTTTTTATTCTCCTTCTTCTTCTACATCTTTTTCTTTTTTCTTCTTCTTCTGTTTTTCTTCTTTACCTTTTTCTTTTACATCTTTTTCTTCTTTTTTCTTTTGCTTCTTCTTCCTTTCCGTTTTCTTCTTGATTATATTCTAAATCGAGACTTGCCTTGGTTAGTACGTGAACTGAAAATCGGAAAACTAAGTTCTAACTCCAGTCGAGTCCGTTATATTATATTTGCATTTAATATTCAGAAAGGTAGAGATTTTCCAAGCGTA